AGCAACCTCCAACTCCTGGGCTCAAGTGAGTCTCCTGCCTCAGCCTCCCAAGTAGCTGGGACCACAGGCACCCGCCACAACACCCGGCTACTTTTTGGTTGCAGCCTTCATTGTTGTTTGGCGGGCCCAGGCTGGATTCAAACCCTCCACCTTGGGTGTACGTGGCTGGCGCCTTAGCCACTTGAGCCACAGGCACCGAGCCATCAATGCCTACTTTTTAAGTCAGAGTAAATGAACTCCAGTTTTTAGAGGATTCTTGAATTAGGTACTAAGGAAACTGCTGCTTCTATCCATGTGCTCAAGGTCACACAAACACCTCTTTGCCTCTCTAATTAGTAGCTATGCCTCTTCTTTTTTTTTTTAATCTATGACAGGCAACTGGTCTATTATAGGCTCTAAGGTACTTCTCACAGTTCTAAGGGCTCTAATTTGTCACTGCCAATCTGCTTTGATTTTCTGAAATGTTCAAGAAAGGTCTATATCCTTTATAGGTTAAAAAGTAACATTATCCTTGCCCTTTTTGGCAGTACCAGAGTATAGCAGTGGAAAGTGGAAGCACGACATAGCACATTGCATGTCAGCTGGTGAATGCTTTTTCTAACTGGAGGAGAGAGCCCATTTTAGTCTTGCTCTCAATCTATTCTGTTCAAGGCTTATTAAATGAGTAGTATGTGCAAGGCACTAACTACTCATAATAGGAAATGGAAGATAGGAGAACAGAGTCTCACTACTCAAGCTACTTATCAGAATTCAAAGAAGTCAGACAAAGTGCTGGGAGTACCTACAGGAAGGTGAGACCATATTACTGGGGGCAAAGTGGACCCTGAAGAATGGGTAGGAAGTTATCCTCAGTTTGTTTGGGGCAAAAGGTAACAGTGGGTAGGAGGAGAGGTAGGGCCAATTCAAAGACTACTATAATAGTCCAGGCAAGAGGTAGAGAGTTTGGACTGAAATAATAGCAGGAATGATACTGAGTGTAAGTTACCATGGAAACAGAATTAGGGAAATTTAGTAAATTGATAGCCAATCAGATGAAGGATAAAGGGAGAGAGGGGAATTTTTTTTTTTTTTTTTTTTTGGAGACAGAGTTTCACTATGGTGCCCTTGGTAGAGTGCTATGGTGTCATAGCTCACAGCAACCTCAAACTCTTGGGCTTAAGCAATTCTCTTG